CATGTTTGTCCTCACACACTGATAGTGGGTAACTCCAATATTCCACTCTCACCAGTGAACAGGTCATCCAGACAAAACATAAATAGAAAACTGCTGATGTTAAATAATGTCATGAGTCAAAGGGACCTAACAGCTTCAGAACATTTCGCCCAAGCACAAAAGAAAAATTTTCTTCTCAGCAGCTCATGGAACTCTCTCCAGATTGACCACGTACTTGGATACAAAGCCAGTCTTAACATATACAAGAAACTTAAAATAGTCCCCAGCAACCTATCTGATCACCATGATTAAAGCTGGGTGTCAACAACAGAGAGTATGCAAACTTGTGGAAGCTGAACAACTCACTGCTGAATGACAATTGGGTCGAGACATAAATCAAGAAGAAAATTAAAAACTTTTTAAAATTGAATGCAAATGGAACCACAGCACAGCCAAACTTATGGAGCATCATAAAGGCAGTTCTAAGGGATGAGTTCATTGCACTAAGTGCCTATATAAAATAATTGGAGAGATCTCATACTAGTAACTTAACAGCACACCTGAAAGCTTTAGAACAAAAAGAAATACCACTCAAAGGGAGGAGACAGCAAGAAATAATCAAACAAGAGGCTGAAAACAATAAAATATAAACAAACAACACAAAGAATCAATGAAACAAAGAGTTGGTACTTTGAAAAAGATCAATAATGTCTGATCTCAGAAGCTTAGCAGGGAACCTGGTTAGTACTTGGATGGTAGAAAATAAGATTGACAAACACCTAACTATGTTAATTAAAAGACAGAGGTAGAAGATCCAAATTAATAAAATTAGAGATGAAAAGGGGGACATTCCAACAGATACTGAGGAAATCCAAAGAATCACGACATACTTTACAAATCTGTACTCCACCAAACTGGAAAACCTAAAATAAATGGATGAATTTCTTGATATATAAGACCTATGGAAGTGAAGGTTGTCCATTCTCTCCATATCTATTCAATATAATAGTTGCAGTCTTAGCTAGAGCGATAAGACAACTGAAGGATATCAAGGGGATACACATAGGAAAGGGAGAAGTAAAGTAGCCTTATTTGCAGATGAAATGATTTGATACATAAAAGACCCAAAAGACTCCACCAGGAAATGTATACAGCTGATAAATATTTTCAGCAAGGTAGCAGAATACAGAGTTAATACACAAAAATCAGTAGCCTTCCTATATACAAATGACAGAAGGAGAAAGAAATCAGGGAAATAGCACCTTTCAGAATAGCCAAACAAACAACAACAAAAAACCCTTGAGATAACTCTAACCAAGCAATTGAAAGACTTGTATAATAAAAACTTTAAGCTATTGAAGAAGACACCAGAAGGTGGAAAGTTCTCCCATGCTCATGGATTGGTAGGACTAATATAGTAAAAATGGCCATCCCATGAAAAGCAATCTACAGATGCCACACAAACCCCATCAAAATTCCAACATGGTTCTTCACAGATATTGAAAAAACAATTTTCAGCTTTGTGTGGAAACAAATGAATAACAGAACAGGATAGCTAAAACAACCCTGAATAATAAAAGAACTGCTGGAGCTATCACCATCCCAGATTCAGCACTATAGAGCTATAGTGTGTTTTTTATACACACACACACACACACACACACACACACACACACACACACACACTTTTGGATACCTAATTTTTAACAAAGAAGTAAAAAATACAGCATCTTCAACAAATGATCCTGGTCAAACTTCATGGCTGCATGTAGAAGAATGCAAATAGATCCATCCCTATCACCCTGCAGGAAACTCAAGTCCAAATGGATCAAGGTCTCAACATAAGACCTGATACTCTGAATCTGATAGAAGAGAAAGTGGGAAATAGACCTGAACTCATTGGCATGGGAAAGAACTTTCTGAACAGGACACCAATAGCACAGGCACTAAGAACAACAATCATTAAGTAGGGCCTCATGAAACTGAAAAGCTCTGTATGACAAAGGACACCATCATTCAGAACAGTGTAGTAGGTTATAGAATGAGAAAAGATCTTTACCAATTATACATCTGATAGAAGGTTAATATCTAAAACATATTTTTTTAAAAATACTTAAAAAACTTGAACATCAAGAAAACAAATAACTCAATTTAAAAATTTAAAAAATGAGGTACAGAACTAAGCAGAAAGTTTTCAAAAGGTGAAACACAGATGACTGAGAAACACTTAGAGAAATGTTCAACATCCCTAGCCATCAGAGAAACACAAATCAAATGTAGTTTGAGATTCCATCCTACCTCAGTCAGATTGACTAAGATCAGGTAAACAAATGACAGGGGCTGGAGGGATGGCGTTGAGAGCACTGGCTACTTTTCCAGAGGACCCAGGTTTGATTCCCAGCACCTACGTGGCAGCTCACAACTGTCTGTAACTCCAGTTCCAGGGGATCCAACACCCTCACACAGACATACATTCAGGCAAAACACCAATGCACATAAAGAAATTAAAATAAATAACTAAAATATTATTTGACAATGTATGCTGGTGGGGATGTGAGGAATGGTGAACAGGTTATTCACTGCTGGTGGGAGTGTAAGCCTATACAGCCCCTATGGAAATCAGTGTGGTGCTTCCTCAGGAAGCTGGGAATAGATCTCCCTCAAGATCCAGCCATTCCACTCTTGGGCATATATCCTAAAGACTCTACATCCTACTACAGAGACACTTGATATTCCATGATTATTGTTGCTCTATTCATAATAGCCAGAAATTGGAAATAGTCTAGATGTTCAACGGATAAATAGGTAATAAAAATGTGGTACATTTTCACAATGGACTATTATTCAGCTGTTAAGAAAAATGGTGTTACGAAATTTGTAAGATGGAGCTGAAAAAAATTCATTCTGAGTGAGGTAATCCAGACCCCAAAAGACAAATACTTAATGTTTTCTCTTATATGTGGATGTTAGATTTGAGCCTTCAATATGCATGCCACAATCTGAATAACCATAGCGGTTAGGTACTTGGTAAGGGAATGGAGGGGGAGAGGGAAGGGGAGATAGAACGTGTTTTTATGGAGAGACAAAGAGGCTTAAATAGGGAGGGGATAGGAGAAAAGAAAAAGGAGGGGATGCGGGGAGGGACGGCTCACAGTAATTGTCACTTGAAAAGTCATGTGGAAACCTGCTGCTGTAGAAGCCGCCTAAAATAACACATCCATAAAAGGAATACAAATGGAGTCACCAAGTCATGAGGGAGACAGTGCTCCAACCAGACATCTCAGGGCACCAAATAAAACCAGACCAGGAACAGATTACATCTTGTCGAGTCTTTGGCCAAAGGGGCCCTGGAAACCCCAAACATCACAGGCTATCTATCAGTTACTCTGCACAGCCAGACCGTAAGGCCCTGTTGCTGAAGACAGCACTTACATATCTCATTGAACATGAAGGAGTCTTGTTCTAGTTAGTCTAACTAGAAGCTTCCCCCCTACTGACTAGCATTCATGGCACTAGAAGGTGCTAGTAAAGAAGAAAGATAATCATCAACCCAGCTACAAACTCTGTGACCTACAAGAGTGACCTGCCTGCAAGATAGACTGGTACAACACTGGTGCCATAGTAGAGAGGGAGCCACCAGCTTTCTGACCGGATGGAATTAAGGCCCACTCCACGCCCTGCTAAAGTGACCAAGAACCCGAAACTACATACGCCATGGGCCTAGGTTAAAACCAAACACTATCATGCTGCTAAAGAACGTAACAGTGAAAGACTCCTAAGGACATTCTTCTGTACACATAGATCACTCGCCCATCATCAGAGAAACCTTCTTCTTGCAGTAGATGGTAATTAACACTGAGCCCCACAACTAGACAATGTACAGAGTGAGAGACTTTGGAACACTCAGTCCTAAACGGGATGCCTTCATCAAACTTCTCCCCTTGGGGCTCAGAGATCTGTGTGGAAGAGAGAAGGAGAAAAGATTGTGAAACCACAGGTGATGGGTGACTCTCAGGAAACAGTGTCTTCCGCGCAGAAAAGGACCGATGCACACAATAGCTCATGGCGACTGTGGCAGGGTGCACAAGGCTTGCACAAGTTCAAGCCAGATGGGGGTCCCAGCACGGAAAGGGGCAGTGGACAGGGCCTCCCACCCCTAAGCAAGAAGCTATCTGTAATTGATCCCCACTGGCAAAGAAAAATTAGTTTTCACCAACGGAGTCTCACTGGCTCTAATTAGCCACTTAGGACCAGCAGTAGACGATCAACATAAAATGAACTCAATTGTATTTTTGTAGACTTCTTTCATTTTGCTTTGTTGGGGCATTTATTTTTCTTTTGTCTTGTTGGTCCTTTGTTTGTGTATCATGGTTTCAGATTTTGTGGAGTTTTTTGAGGGGGTGTTTCTTGTTTGTTTGTTTTAACAGTTTTTTGTTGCTTGTTCGCTTGCTTGCTTGTTTGAGACAGGGTTTCAATATGTAGCCCTGGCTGTCCTGGAACTTGCTTTGTAGACCAGGCTGGCCTCGAACTCAGAGATCTGCCTATGTTTGCTTCCCAAGTGCTGAGATTAAAGGTGTGTGCCACCGCTGCCTGACTTTGTTTTTCAAAAGGAGGCTGAAGGGTGGGGGGAGACAAAAAAGAATATAAAGTTGGGGGGGGGGCGCGTTGAAGGAAATGGGAAGAGGAATCCATGATCAGGCTATATTGCATGAAAAAGAAACAGCCGCAGATCTAAGAGTTGGAGCTCTAGATGGTGGTGCCTGCCTGCCTGCGGATCCTGCCTGCTTGTTGTCAAATGCCGAGGGATGCCAAAGCCTCCACAGACTGGCACTTAAAGAGCTTCTTGCCTACCCGCAATTTCTGTCTGAGCAGGGCAAGAAGAGAACGGTTCCCACTTTGGCATTAATGCCTCCCTTCCCACAGGCATTGGCTCCTCCTAACTGTCCCTACCTAACCAACGAAGTCATTCTCCTCCAAACACTAGCCCAGCTTACAGGAGAAAAGGAGTGAGGACTCCTCACCTTCTCTCGGAACTTCTGTTCCTTCTGCTCCTGCAACGTGGTCAGGTAGTTGACAGCCGCGTACTCCAGCACCGAGAGGAACACGAACACGAAGCTGACCCAGAGGTAGATGTCCACCGCCCGGATGTAGGACACTCGGGGCATGGAGGCGTTCACGCCCGTGATGATGGTGGACATGGTCAGCACCGTCATGATTCCTGTAAAACCATCTTAGTTCAGCTGCTGACCCACCCCGGAGCCATACCCACGTCTCACAGTCACAATTTTACATTCTTTGTCTCTTTAATCAAGTGAGAGCTTCCCAGACATATTTCCACCCAGCAGAGGTGTGAGGCTCTGCTCCCTAAACAATCAGGCTTTCCCTGACTCACCCCTTCCAGAATGTTCCCCCAAGAACTAGCTGCCTGCTTTCAGTCACCTTGGGAGTCTGAGTTTCTGCGATGTGTCTGACAAGGTCATGCCTCATACAGGACCATTGATGGTGTGGGATTAAAAACAATGATTGAAGGACAGCTCTGAAGGAACAGTCATAGTTCCCCTTAGCTACACCACATTTATTAAGCTCTGTCCAGTTCTTCTCCACTGTGGCTTGCCTGCTAAGTTCTCCCACGTGTCAGGGTCTACCCTGACTTTATCCAAATTTGAATACTGTATTGTAAATTTTCACTCTGGAATTCAGGGTCTGGAAAAAGCCAGAACTGAAACTCTGAAGGAACACAGTCCTCACCCCAGGAACCACATGTTCCTGTACAAACCAGCAAGATTTTAGAGTTTACAGAATAATTTTTGGCATTTGCCAAATCATTTATTTACTTTTTAGTACTGCACTCCCATACTGCCTTGTAAAGGATCATACTCCAGACTGGTTCCACATTTGAACTGATGGACACTGAGGGGTGCAATGTTAGTTCCCCCAAGTTTTCACAGTGTGGTACCTCCGACTTCATGTGGATAGACTAGGCAAGAGGCAGGCAAGTCCTCCTTTGACTCACAAGCCCATCAGTTAAGAATTCTAAAGACTTACTTTACTTTTTTTTTTAAGGTCTCTCTATGTAGCCCCAGTTGACTTCAGTCTGAGTGCTGGGATTAGATGACGGAGCCACCATGCCCAGCCCGTGACCTTAATTCTCCGTTACCTAGTGATCAGCTGAAAGAAAGACCAAAAGCATCCTACCACACCTTATCAAATACTTTTACCCAGTGAAACTCTGGCAGGCACAGCTCTGTGGTCGATCCAGAAGGACACCCAGGACAGCATGACCATGAGGGTAGCAGGGAAATAGGTTTGGAGCAAGAAGAAGAAGATGTGACGGTGTAAAGTGAAGTTGATGTACAGACGGTTGTACCAGCCTGGGGGGACACGAGAAGAAGGAGTGAGGTTCCAGCCAGAGCCTCCCCAGGAGCCCATCTACCCCGGCAATGCTCATCAACCGCAGAAAGGAAGTTCAGCGGGCTTGACACCAGGCCTTCCGTCCTTGTGTGGGAGTCCTCTCTGCTATGGCCACCTTGTCCGTATCTAGTATGCTCTCCCAGGGAGTCTGAGCTAACTTTTCACAGCAATGTGGGGAAAAGGTAGAAGGAAACATTTACTTGATAGTTTGGTTTTTATTACTTGCAAACTGTGACTGTATCTCCTGAGGGGCTGGCTGCTTGGGAGCTTAAGAAGGTAGAGTAGTTCTAACTTGTTGAGGCCAGTGCTGCTCAGTCAGGAGCCAGAAGAGCCGGGCTGTCACTCTGGTCCTCTTAATCACTGGGTTGGCTGGTACCCACCCAGTCCACACACCAGCACAGAAGAAGTAGGCTGGTCACATTACTCGGAAGTCTGGCATCAGTACCATTTCTAACACTCCATCCTCCTCCTGGGATCCTTTACCACTGGGCGGGGACGGACCTGATGCTATAGTACTAAGTCATTGTGCACTCCGAGAATCCCTGTTTAAAGGCTGTAAAAGGAGTCTGAAAGTGTGAGGTCTCAGCGACCTACAACCATTGTGACCCACAAAGGTGCCAAGGGCAGTGAGTCTGAGCTAAGGAGGCGTGTGCGCCCGCAGCCCCTGCACCTCAGCTCAGCACCATCAGGCATCTCAAAGTATCACATCATGACAGTACAGGATGCTTTGGGTGGGGGTGGGGGTCAGGGGTCCAGAAGCAGGGTTCTTTTTTCTCCCCATGTGTTCATTACGTTATTAAAGTTATCTTCCGTTCGTGGCAAATGACACCAACTGTCCACCCATTGTAGGTATGCAAATCTCCTTTGCCAAATAAAGTACAAAAAGGCTCATTGGCTTAAAGAGAACAATTAAGTTGCTGACTGCAAGGAGGCGCGTTAGGGGCACCCTGCAAGGGGCTGTGGTTGGGGAAATCAGAACAGTATTACTCGGAGGAGCACTAAGGAATTGAACTCAGAGGCTGCTCCAAGGCCTCCTGGTCTAGGCGGACTCAGGTCACTTAGGGCCTCTAGCTAAAGGCCAGGGCTTTACTCATACAGTGACTTTTTCAATGAGCAGGTATTCAAACACTTGTTAGAAATTCAGGTCCTTAGAGTCCACACGGGACCCACCGATGAGGGACACTCCCCCACTCAGAAAAAGGGGGGGTGTGCCCGTGGAGGATTGGTTAAAGACAGCTCTTGGCTCCCCAGAGTGCCTGAATGCAACCTGAGAACCACACTGGCCAGAAGCAACAGCCTCTGAGTTCTGATCCACAGAAGAAGTCTGTGAGATGCCCACCCCGCCCTGACTCTGAAGACTTGCAGGAACTCTGCTTGTGAGCACCTCGCTTTGGTGGTGTGGGTACAGGTGGGCCTGAGACTGCATCCCTCAGGTTCCCAAGAAACACTGGGGAGCAGACAGACTGGCTAGAGCAGGAGGTAAACACAGGGCAGGGAGGGAGGTTAGACCTGTAGGAAAGGCCCGGAACAACAGGGTGTGTTCAGACGGGTTTGACAACTGTCTACTGGTGGTTTTCTGGGCTCTCTGAATGGGCTGGCACTTTAGGGGGACGGACAAACAGAAAGTGATCTTCAAGAACGGGAAGAAAAGAATCAGCTGACCGCTCCCCACCTCATCCCACCTTTGCTCTGTTCTCCCCCTCCAAAAGGCATCCCTGAAGGAAATCACACTGCTCGTCAGCTGTGTAGACTCTTCCTGGCAGCGGCCTCTGTTCCGGCAAGGACTATCCTGCCATCCCTGCTTCTACTTAAGAAGAGCAGGGAAGTTGTGTCGGGAACACAGGGACAGAGAAAAGAGCTATGAACATGTGTGTGACTCCTGTGTGAGGGAACATGTGTGTGACTCCTGTGTGAGAGGACATGTGTGTGACTCCTGTGTGAAGGAACATGTGTAACTCCCGTGTGAGGCCACCAGTCCCGTAGCATGAGTGCTGTATGTAGTGAAGAGTGGAATGAAAGATGCGTTTGAATCTGAGCTCCAGAAAGGCTTGAACGGGAAAGAAAACAGGCCAGTGTACCGCTACAGCACAGAAGCCACTAAAAGGGACAAATGCGGCCTCTCACGGCTCTGGAGCTTGAACCAATAGCTTAAAGTCTCAGTTTCCTGATATGAAATCAAGGAATAACAATTTCAAAGTCTTGGTTTGTAGGGTAGAAATTAATTTACACATAACAAATGGTATGTAAGAAATTCTTAGCCGTGGTTTCACGGATTTGAATTTGGTAAGAAACAGATAAGGTGGCTGGAGAGATGGCTGGGTGGTTAAGATCACTGACTCCTTGTCCAGAGTCTGGGTTTGGTTCCCAGCACCCATATGGTGACTTACAACCATCCATAACTCCAGTTTCGGGGGATCTGATGCCTTCTTCTGACATCGGATGGCACCAGGCACACACGTGGTACACATACATGCATGCAGGCAAAACACTTGTCTACATAAAATAAAATAAATATTTTTAGAAAGTAAACACAACAACCGCTACAATGAATAGATAAGGAAGTCGTGTGTGTGTGTGTGTGTGTGTGTGTGTGTGTGTGTGTGTGTCGGAGTGGAAGGGCCGAGATGAGGATGAGCCCCGTGGGCATGCCCTGAAGCAGGCCTGTGATGTCCTGACGCCAGCACAGCGCTAGACAGGCCTGTGCTCTTCCAGTGTGTGGCTCTGTGAGAAGAGTGTGAGTGGGGGCAGGTGACCAGCTAGCAGAGCAGGCAGGATCAGGAAGGTACACAAAAGCTTTCCATAGAGGGGTTTGGGCATCTCGGCTCTGGGACAAGTGGTGATGACATAAGAGTCCCATTAGGAGCCTGCGCCTGCAGAAGTACTGTTGAACTGTTATTACAGATACATGGAAGTCTTCACTCTCACTGATTCAGAGGGACCTTCTTCAGAGACGAGGTCTTTGCAGATCTCATCAAGACAAAATGAGGTCGCGCTGGATTCTAATCGACCCTGACACAGTGACTTCTGTCCCTACAGAAGAAGGGAGGTTGGACATGGACACATGGGAAAGACACTAAGTGGGACACAGGAGAACATCCATGGTGGCCAGAGCAGGTTAGAGCAGCACAGCTATAGGTCAAGGGCTCCAGGCATTGCTGGCACACAGCAGAGGCTCCCCCCTGCCTGCAGGTCCAGGGCGCCGGGCATTGCTGGCACACAGCAGAGGCTCTTCCCTCCAGCCTGCAGGTCAAGGGTGCCAGGCATTGCTGGCACACCGCAGAGGCTCTTCCCTGCCTGCAGGTCCAGGGCACCAGGCATTGCTGGCACACTGCAGAGGCTCTTCCCTGCCTGCAGGTCCAGGGTGCCAGGCATTGCTGGCACACAGCAGAGGCTCCTCCCTGCCTGCAGGTCCAGCCTGCAGAGGGACCGTGTCCCTCACACCTCTGCCTAGCAAACTGTGACAGAATAAGTCTCTGTTGTTTCAAACACCCAGTCTGGAGAATTTCATTACGGCAGTCCTAAAAGAATCTAACCAAGGAGTGTAAGGTGAGACTAGACAAAGGTTGACAAAGGGATCCCCTCAAATATTCAAGCATGGTCCAGGATGGAAGGGGTTAAACTAAGTGCTGAAAATTGACCCTCCTGGGACTGGTGGTGTAAGTCAGAGGTAGCACATGGACTGAGCATGTGCAAGGCCCTGGGTTCAGCCACCAGCAGGAAAAAGAAAACAGAATATAGATAATAAGTACTCTCCCTTGCATAGCTGTGAAGTAGAAGAAATAAAGTTGCAGAACAGCATGCCAAACACAAGCCCATTCTTATGAAATCCACGGCTACCGTAAGATGTCTTGAGGGGATTACTAACTTGTGCTCCCTCTCGGGGTGGGATCTCAGGAGATAGCAGTGTTTTGATTCTGTTTCCTGCTTTTTAAAAGTGCTATTTTAGGGCCAGGCTGTGGTAATGCATGCCTCTAATCCTAGCACTCAGGAGGCAGAGGCAGGCAGATCTCTGTGAGTTACAGGCCAGCCTGGTCTACAGAGTGAGTTCCAGAATAGCCAGAGTTACACCAGGAAACCCTGTCTTGAAAAAAACCATAATAAAAATAATAATAATAATAATAATAATAATAATAATAATAATAATAATAATAGTGTTATTTGGGACTATGCATATACATAATCAAAATTATGTCTATTGGCAGTGGAAAGGGTGAAGGCTGGAGAACTCAAATGTGTCTCTTCCACATTGGAGTCTAGCTGAGACAGTAGCTACCTGTGCTGCTGTAGAAGGCCAGTCTGGACGTCGTATGAAATTTCTGAATCAGAAACTGGGACAGGGAGATCTTGTCGTCCGTTTTCAGGGACTCGTCCCCATTCTTCCAGTACAGCATCAGATCTTCATCTGTGTATGCATCTCGGACAGAGGAAGATAAGTGAACTCAACACCTCTACTCTCTTGTTTAATCCTGTGCCAGGGTGAACAGCTCCTAGCCCAGGAGGCAGTCCTCAATCTCCTGATTCTCAAGGGCAGCGAAGATGGGAGAGGCAGTAAGGTAAAAGCGTGAATCCATGGATACTTACAGCTCTCCAGCTCCAAGGAGCAGGTCTGGGAGTCCAGGGGGAAGTGGCTGAAGTCCATGTTGCACATGGCGGTGACGGTAATCCTGCACAACACAAAGACATGAGGTGTCTTGGGAGCGGGCCATCAAGTCCAGGTTCTGCCCACACTTTGGAAGACCCAGTACAGCGCCCAGGGTGGCAGGAACCTCCATGGTCACCTTCAGAGGTCAGGCATCTAAGCCACGGAAGCATAATTAGAGCTTTGTCTTCTGTGACCTCGTGGGTCTTCTTTATTGGGCTTGCTGTCCCCCAGCTGCTGGAGTCGGGGTGTTGGCTGCTAACTATCCACACTTGCGCCCTTCTCTTGTACCACCTCAGCCAACAGGGCTGCCTCCCTCAGAGACGCCTGGGAGGTGAGGCCTTCACCATCGTCCACACAGGGTAGGAGTGTATCTGGCACTAACACTGACTCTGGTGACTCACACGAACAGGCCAGGAACAAGGACCCTTCAAACCGACAAGTGTGCCCCGAAGCCAATCTGCACTAGCACTTAGCAAACAGTAGCTACTGTTATGAATTTAAAATCTTTATCGCCAATTAACTAGAGTCATAGACTCTAAGGAGTAAAAGGTCATTGTTCCCATCAAGTCTGGGCCAAACTAGTCTTTTAGTTCGAGTGTAAGAGCCCAGCTAAGAGGAAGTTGCCATCTGCAGGGGTGGCATCAGACTGACTGACGTCCAAAGGCTTGGGCCAACCTATAGACCCTACTACAGAGACAAACTCGTCAGGACTAAAGGAGCTGTCAATTCCAGGGCGTCTTGACAGCTCCGGACTGTTACCTCATGCTGTACAGCACGTGGCCGTCTGGGAACACTCTCAGCATGATGTTGTCTGTGGTGGTGTCGTGAGTAAATGACCGTTTGGAGTGAACGAAGAAGACATCGGGAACCCAGATCTTCTTCACCAGCCTGCCATCGAAAGTCATGCTCTTGTTGCTGGTGCTGGGGAAGGCCAGCCTCTCGTCCCTCCAGTAATGCCTCAGGTACAGGGTCATGGTGAAGTCCTGGGAACCGGGGAAGAAGTCCTTTAGCTAGAGAGGCTTGGAGAGCAGCCCTCCCTGCAACTGACCCGTCTTCCTCTACTGCAGAATCCCCTCGACTCCGCCTCCAGATTCAGAGCGAGGGCTCTGCAGTCCTGAGCACAAAGGTCAACGCCATGGCCCTGTGGCAATCAGGAAGAGAGTGGCTCCTTTCTGCAACTGAAAACACAGCTATGGTGCCACCTTCTGGCCACACAGCTCAGCAGGGTGTAGCGCTTCCAAAACCCTGGTCTTTTTCATGAGGTCCCTATGCACAGGCTTTCCTACTATAAATAAAAGATGAGCATCAGCAGTCAGTTTGGAAGGGAAGGTGTCACAATTCCCTTCGTGAATTTTCTTAGAAGAACAGGGCCTCAAGGCCATGACTAAGACTCAAGGTTGGAGGAAGAGTGTCAAACCCAGTGCTGTAAATGGAGATCTAAACACGATGGGGCCTTAAAGAGAAGGGGAGGCTTCCCTTTAAAACCTGGACAGGAGCTTCATTGAGAGTAAGAATGAGAAAGGGAAAGGAGAAGGGGAATGGGAGAAAGAGGGAGGAGGGAGGGAGGAGAGGGAGGAGAGAGGGAGGGAGGGGAGAGGGAGGAGAGGGAGGAGAGAGGAACGGAGGGAGGAGAGAGGGACGGAGGGAGGAGGAGAGGGATGGAGGGAGGAGAGAGGGACGGAGGGAGGGAGGGAGGAGAGAGGGACGGAGGGAGGAGAGAGGGAGGGAGGGAGGGAGGGAGGGAGGAGGGAGGAGAGAGGGAGGGAGGGGAGAGGGAGGGAGGAGGGAGGAGAGAGGGAGGGAGGGGAGAGGGACGGAGGGAGGAGAGAGGGACGGAGGGAGGAGAGAGGGACGGAGGGAGGGAGGAGAGAGGGACGGAGGGAGGAGAGAGGGACGGAGGGAGGAGAGAGGGACGGAGGGAGGAGAGAGGGAGGGAGGGAGGGAGGAGGGAGGAGAGAGGGAGGGAGGGAGGGAGGAGGGAGGAGAGAGGGAGGGAGGGAGGGAGGGAGGAGAGAGGGAGGGAGGGAGGGAGGGAGGGAGGGAGGGAAGAGAGAGGGAGGGAGGGAGGAGAGAGGGAGGGAGGGAGGAATGGTAGAGATGGGCTGAGGAGGAGCCTTTTCAGATAGCAGCCTTCAAGGTCACCTCCCCAGCAGTCTCCCTCCAAAGTCTCAAACTAATCCCCTGAACAAAGGAATGAACAAAGGAAAGATTTGACTTTTAGCAACCCTTGAGGGTGTGGGAAGTTCCATATCACATGATTTCGATCAGCACAGAATATATGACAGAGCATGAGAGAGCCCAGTGTCACAATCGAAAGCTGTGTGCCTAGGTCTCTGTCGCAGCAGAAACAGCTCTGGGGGATGCAGCCAGCTTCAGGAATTCCAACACTACCTCTATAGGTTTCATCTGAGAGGTCAGTTAGAGAAACCTTGAGAGGTCAGTTAGAGAAACCTGGTCAGGTGTCACTCTTTTTTTTTTTTTTAAAAAGATTTATTTATTTATTATGTATACAGTGTTCTGCCTGCATATATGTCTGCAGGCCAGAAGAGGGCACCAGATCTCATTACAGATGGTTGTGAGCCACCATGTGGTTGCTGGGAATTGAACTCAGGACCTCTGGAAGAGCAGTCAGTGCTCTTAACCTCTGGGCCATCTCTCCAGCCCCAGGTGTCACTCTTACAAAGCAGGATGTAGCTGGGCATGGTGACATAGACCTTTAATCCCAGCAATCAGGAGGCAGGGGCAGTCGGATCTCTATGAGACCAGACTGAAACACACAGGGAGACCCTGTCTCCAAAAAAAATAAATAAAGGAAGACAGCAGGCTGAGCAAGCCAGTAAGCATGGTTCCTCGGTGATTTCTGCTTCAGTTTCTGCCTCCAGTTCCTGCCCTGACTCTTCCCTCAGTAATGGACTGTTACCAGGAAATGGAAGCGAACTAAACCCTTTCCTCCCCAAGTTGCTTTAGGTCACAGTGTTTTATAGCAGCAATAGCAGCCCTAACTAAGCCTTCATTCTAGGCACTTCTCCCTAGGATGTCAATCTGAAGCCACACTTGAAGGAGGGCAGATGGCAGCTCACAGCCTGACTTAGTGTCTGACCGCAGTCTAGGGAAGCCGGGCTGACCTCATCCCCAGCTGAATCCAGCTGTTGAATACCGGGAGGAGCTGGCAGGGTGTGCTCCAGTACCTTGGAGACCTTCGTATCTACACCTTCCACAGCTGGATCTCCTCCCGCCAGGAGCTGGGGCTCTGAGGGACATACAGCATGTGTTTCTCAGCCATGCTGCTCAGCACCAAGGAAGGGGGGTGGGGTGGGGGTGGGATGTGGGGGGGAGTGGTGGAGGGGGGGCCTCAGTGCTAGAGTATCTGCTTCCAGGTGCAAGACCTTGGATTTGTTTGCAAACACAGAACAAGGAGGAGGCAGAGGAAGAGGGATGGGAGGGAGGAGAGAGGGAGGGAGAGAGGGGAGGGAGGGAGGGAGGGAGGGAGGGAGGGAGGGAGGGAGGGAAGGAGGGAGGCAGGGAGGGAGGGAGGGAGCGAGGGAGGGAGGGAGGGAGGGAGGGAGGGAGGGAGCGAGGGAGGGAGGGAGGGAGGGAGGGAGGGAGGGAGGGAGGGAAGGAAGCTCCTAAATAACTCCATAGCACCACTGGAACTGACTATGTGAGTTATGAAGGAAAAGCAGAACCCGAGACCAGGAGCTCGGGAGGGCCTCTGAGGGAACTTTATCTCAACAAAGACAGAGAGGCCAAGAAGGAAGCCTCCTGGGAGGGTCAGAGGAAGGCCACCTACAGAAGTTTGTAAACTAACGAGCAGAGCACCAAACACAGAGGAGGCTGACAGTATGGAGCGGCAAGCTGCCCTCCAAGATGAGTGGGCCTCACAAGAGAGTCACAAGATGGGTATGAACATGGAGGGCGGGGTGGGGGAGGGGCTGCCGTGCAAGAGGGAGGTGGTGGGGGTAGAATGGAAAATCAGAGCATTGAAGGGTTTCAATCAAAATGCTGTCTCTCCCCCTCCTCCCAGTGAGATTCACTGGGCACCTTGCATTTTATTGCCTGCAGCAGGCCTTGAAAAGACAGAGGTGGGCCTCAGTCCCCAGCTGACTTTACCCACGGAAATAATAGCACTGCTCTAGATGTTACTGCACGTGGTCCAACTCTTCCAAGTCCCAACCTGGTCCCCTTCTGCTTTCACAGACACAACCCGCACCCTGAGGCCCCCATGCTCTCAACATCTCAGCAGCGTGATCCCTCCATGAAGAGGCCAGCCTGGGGCAGTGCCTACCATGTCCACCTCGGAGATGCTGTCCAGGCTCTCCACCTGCACGTCCACGCCCACAGGGATGGCAGGGCCTGTGGGAGAGAGAGACAGCTGAGTAAGGTGAAGTCCTCTCCACTTGGGGCTGAGGGATGGCCCAGCACCTTCCCTGTGGAGTAAGGGCTGCCTCGGGGGTGAGGCGGGACACAGAATCCTATGTGGGGTGTTTTCTGCTCGCACCTGATGTAAAAGGTGCTTATACTTTATCAGTGAGGTCAGAGACTGGGTCTGCACTGCATGGTGTTCCCAGGCTGAAGTGAATGTCCTCTGTGCTTGCTGGGCGAGTTACGAACTGGACTATGCTTGTCTCTATTCTAGGTTGTGTCTGGAGGGTGGATGGGAGCAACAGTGTGACCCCAGTGCCCAAGTGGACATCTTGGTCACTGGCCCAAGGTTGGATCACTTCCTGCAGAGACACTAACACACAGCCGGAGTTCTGCCTCCTACTAGCTTTCAGTCTAGGATGAGATGAGATCTCTACCAAGTTAGATCACAGCACAAGGCAGCACCGTGGAAGGTGAAGACACACTGGACGAGATTCTATGGCCAGATTTCTAAAACTGTTCACCTAGGGTTTATCTACGGCCCTGTCTTTTTCCTGAGCTGGATGATAGTTACATTGGTGAGTTGATTTAGTGAGAAGTTAGTGAGCTGAGCACTTAGTTTGTGCACTTTTTAATACATGTATACTGCAGAAATTTTTTTTAATGATTTTGATATTAATGATGTTATAGAGGTGCATGCCTATAATCTGAGCTAGTTAGAATGCTAAATCAGAAAGACTGAATTTTGAGGCCAGCCTTGGCATCATAGCTGGCCCAGGTCTCAATTTTTTTAAAATAAAAAATTTTTAAAATATGCTTTAATATTAAAAAAAATAAAAGGAACAAAAATAAGGACTTGGGATCTATCAAACATATTTAGCATCTTTATGCTCAGAGCCAAACAGCCACTCTAAAGAAGCCGGTGGAATTGAGTCTGTGATCAAAAATTTCCCACAGAGAAAATACCAGGTTCAGATAGCTTTACCAGCAAAGCACCGATGGTTTAGGAGGAATTAGCACCGTTCTATAAATCCTCCCAGAAGCTATAGAAAGAATGTGGTGTGCCTGTTTGGTCCCAGCACTCAGGAGGCAGAGGCAGGTGGATCTCTGTGAGTTCAAGGCCAGCCTGGTCTACAAAAGTAAGTTCCAGGACAGCAAGAGCAACACAGAGAAACCTTGTGTTGGAAATAACAAAAACACAGTGTTGGGGCTGGAGAGATGGCTCAGCAGTTAAGAGTACTGGATACTTACTCTTCCAGAGGACCAGGGTTCAATTCTCAGCACCCACGTGGCAGCTCACAGCTGTCCAATGTAACTCCAAAAGCATCAATTTATTTCATGAAGTGAAAACAAGGAATGAAAAGGCAAATTCACAAGCCAGCCTCTCTTGGGACAAGAAATCTAAATTCCTAATAATCCAACAACAGCATAAAGCACTAAACTTCAGGGTTTGTTTGTGTGTGTGTGTGTGTGTGTGTGTGTGTGTGTGTGTGTGTGTGTGTGCGTGTGTGTTTTGCTGGGAGTCAAATGACCTGGGACTGGATTTACAGATGGTTGTAAGTTTCCACATGGGGCTGGGAAATGAACCTCCAGTTCTCTTCAAGAGCAGCCAATATTCTTAACCACTGAGTTATCACTCCAGTCCTCCGGCACTAAATTTTAAAAGAATGTACATCATGTTTTAAGTCAGATTTATTTAGGAATTGAACATTTGTTTTAATGTTGGGACTTTGTGTATGTGTGTGGTACTCAGAATTGAGCCTAGGGTCTTACACATGCTGGGCAAACACTCTACCACTGAACTATAAACCCAACTCTATCACTGGAAAGAATCAAGGGATTCTATCGCTAACAACAGTGTTCCTGGAGAATAAACCCAGAGCCTCGTTTATGGTAGGCAAGAACTCTACCACTGACTCATAACCCAGTATGCCCTCTTCTTTGTGAAGACATCAGTTAACAGAGTTGTTCAGGCTTGTGGGGCAACGTTAGAAGGGAAGAGGGACCAAAGAGGGGGGGCCTGGTGTTAGGTCTCCTAGGAGCATTTGTCAGTTCTGGAGGGAACCAGGAGTGTATGTAACACTGTAAATGATTTCTTGGGGCTCAAGGAAAGAGACTAGAGTCCAGAGCCACCAATGCAACTGTTTTATATTATATATTTATATATGAAGATGGGGGGGACAAGACAGGTTGACCACACAGCTTCTGGCAGGCAACACTTGGACCCTGGAAAAGCCATAAGCTGACCCCACCCAGGCAGGGCATGCATCTAAGGGGAAATACCTAAGGCCCAGACACAAGTTCTGGCAGGCAACACCTGGACCCTGGAAAGAGAAGTACCTGACATTCCAAACATTCCCTATACCCCTAGACAAATGTCAGCCAATCAGAGTCCTGAACCTTGGAAATCCCCTCACCCCAACCTCTGCTATGATAAAACCCCACCCTGCCTGGGCTTGGGGCTCTCTGCTCTCACTGCTGTATCAGACAGACAGAGAGCCCAAGCTCCGAGCTTGAAAATAAAGGCTCTGCTTTTACATATGGGATGCAGAATTTGTGGTGGTCTTTTGGGGGTCCCCACGATCTGGGCATAACAAAGATACATAGAACTTCACTTTAATATACAGAATTTAATATACAGCTCAGCTTCAAATCATGTCAGTGTCTGTCCTTGACACTTTTCTATTGCCATGACGAAACACCATGGTGAGGGCAACTTATAAAAGGAAACATTTAATTTGGCCCTAATACTTGCAGAAGATTAGAGTCTGTGACCATCCCTGGGGGAAGCATGGCAACAGGCAGGTGGGTAGGCATGGCAGTGAGGCATTTAGCTGAGAGCTTATATCCTGACCCACAAACACAAGACAGAGCTAACTGGGAATGACGTGCCCTGTTGAAACCTCAACTGCCTCGACTAAGTCTACCAGGCTGGGCTGACTTCCCAGGGGAGACCTTGCCTTGAAGGATATGGGAATGGGGGGTGGATTTGGGGGAGGGCTGGGGGTGGGAGGAGGGAGGACGGGGGAATCTGTGGCTGATATGTGAAATTAAGTTAATTATAAAATAAAAATATTAGCCGGGCGGTGGTGGCGCATGCCTTTAATCCCAGCACTCGGGAGGCAGAGCCAGGCGGATCTCTGTGAGTTCGAGGCCAGCCTGGGCTACCAAGTGAGTTCCAGGAAAAGGCGCAAAGCTACACAGAGAAACCCTGTCTCAAAAAACCAAAAAAAAAAAAAAAAAAAAAATTAAAAAAAAAAAAGAAACCTTAAAGCTCACCCCCAGCGATACATCTTTTCCAGCAAGGCTACACGTCCAAATCCTTCCTAAACAGTTCCACCAACTGAGGACCTTGCATTTAAGTACATAAGCCTATGGGGACCATTCTTATTCAAACTACCACACTTCATTCCCTGACCTCATAGGCTCCTGGTCATATCATAATGGAAAATGCATTTAGTCCAACTTCAAACATTCCCATAGTCTTTCATAGTCTCAACACACTTTACAAGTACATAGTCTCCTGTATAGACCCGAGACAACCTCTCAATTGGAACTTCCTGTATAATCAAAAAGCAAATTACATACTTCCAACATACATTTACACATAATATAAATTACCATTCCAAAAGGAAAGAATAGGAGCATAAGGAGGAACCAAAAGCAAGACCTAAACCCAGCAGAGCAAACTTCAAACCTTTAACCACATATCTGATGTCAAGGGCTTAGACGGCTTTGATCTTCCAGCTTCGCTGACTACAAAACACTTCTCACTCTGCAGCTGGTTCCACTCCCTGTCCTTAGCTTACCCTGGCAGATGCCCCTCAACCTTGGTACCTCCAACATCATGGAGTCATTAGCAGAATCCAGATTTCACCTTCACATCTTCACACAATGGCATCTTGGGGCCTCTAGGCAAGGATTCCCATGGCACACGCCTAGCCCAGCAGCTCTCCTTAACCACTGAAGAAGATTCCACAATCCCTTAATCATGTATCCTTCATGAAACTAAAGCCAGAACTACTTGGCCAAAGCTGCCATGTTCGGGTATCTGCTTGGGTTGGAGGCTGGCCCCTCTTTGAATTACATTTGCATAAGCTTTGGTTTGCTGTTGCTTCTTAGGAATGGAATATTCCTCAAGCCTTTTTCTTTCACGTATTGCAGGGTTATCTGGCTAGGGTCTTGTCCTGAGGGCTCTACTCCCCACTCCCTGTATCCCGTTTCACACAGGGCCTCTCCTTATCTCTTTCATCACAAGCTTTGGCTCCAACACTGTATTTTCTGGTGCTCTTTTTCCCCTCCAACATTTTTTATTTTTTTTCCCCAGGTTGTTCTTTTTCATTGTAGACCTACATAAAGCAGTCAGATTAGGCTGTCTTGAAATCTCCTCTGCCAAAGAAATTAGTCCATTATTTTTTCAATTTTTCAGGCAAATTTTTAGGACAAGGGCAAAAAGCAGCCACAATCTCCGTCAAAATATAACAAGAATGGTTCCGAGCCCAGTTGTTAATACTGTTCTCCTCTGAAACTTCTTGAGCTGGGCCTTCATAGTCCACATTGTTCTTAGCACTACCTTATTCCAAGCTGCTGCTAGGATAGCCCCTTAATCTCTGCTTACAGCATTCAACCACTTTCCTAGCCCAAAGTCCCAAAGTCTTCTTCCAAAAAACAGAAAACAAACAAACAAAAAACCATCATGGACAGGCCTGTCACAGCAATACCCCATTCCGGGACCACAGTCTGTATTTGTCAGGGTTCTCTAGGGGAATAAAACTGATTGAACGATTTCTATACATCTAAAGAGATATTTATTAGAATGGCTTACAAGTTGTGACCCAGCTAGTCCAACAATGGCTGTCTCCTGAAGAAAAGGCCAAGAATCTGACAGTTGTTCAGTGCATGAGGTTAGACATCTCAGCCAATCTTCAGTCTATATTGGAATCCTGAAGAAATAAGTCCTAAGAGCAGCAAAGGCATGTCTCCCCTGCAGG